CCCTGCTGACGTCGCCATGGCCTCTGGGAAAGGAAGTTCCAGACATTGGTGAGGCGACGCCACGACGGTTGCCTTCACGCAAAATGATCCGCGGCCATTACCCCTCCCCACACTTCCTCCGCTTCCTCATTCCTGGGCATCGCCACTTCATCTAACGGCTATTGTTTACTCGATAAAGCCTTCCCTCTAGTCGCTTGCCAGCATGGCTTGCCTGGCTTCTCCCAAGCGGAATCAAGCGCCGGAGATCAGGGTTGATCGCGGAGTAGTGTTTGCAGCGGAAGTTTGAATCTCAGGTCAGAGTGAATGTAAATGACTGAGTTAATAGAAACATGCATACATCGGGTTTATATAAGAGTACAGGGGAATACGAAAAGACCTAGACTAGCCATGTACTCTAAGGGGTACATTCCCTTATTGCAGCGAATTTCAAACCGTGCAGCACGGGAACCCGTTTCAAACCTGTTCCTGCTCTTTTCACTTCAAGTGTTTCTGCCTGCATCGGTCTTGGTCAGACGGTTGCTGCGTCGCTTCGACTCTTCTGACTCCTCGACTTCGTACTCGGTAGAGTCGGCTCCTGCAGCATACAGGAATGCCTTCTATTAAAGCTTCATATCGTAACACGTTCAGCCCAGACTGCCCCACACGCCACCCAGCAAACAAATTTCAGCGGAGGGTTTTACCGAGCCACAAAATGGTACCAATAGTAGGCCAGGGACGGGAAATTTCGACCGCGTACTTCGATGTAGTCCCTTCCAAAAAAAAAAACAATTTTGGAGCCTAGTTGGGTTTACCCTTCGAGGCCTAACCCCGAGTCCGCCTGGAGTCCTCCACCAAAATCGGGAGTTGTGGGAGGCCTAACTCGGAGTTAACTTTGGCCGTGTGGGAATCTTTCCATAGGGTTCCTTTGAGTCGTACTCCGAGTAATACTAACTCCGATCGTTGGCCCATTTTTGTTTACACGTGCAAAGGGGGAGTTAGTGAACCCCCTCGAAGTCCACCAACTCGGAGTAAGGGTGCGTCAGATCCGCTACAATGTGATTTGGCTGCAAATTTGTCGCCCTTTTGGTCGACCATATTATTCGCCAAAGTCGACCGAATGGTCGAATGCTAAACCGATCACCATCCAGCCACATTTTCAATGTGTTGCAATATGACAGATTTGGTGGCCGATTTACAGGCCGGTTTGCAAAAGTGTCAGATTTGCAGGTCGCACAGTTGGCCGGATTGTGCGACGGAGTCGCATGTATTGTTACTGAAGTGACACAACCGCTAATGTGCACACTACGATCAGACACGTTGAGTCGCTTGGGTATGTTGGCCAAGTCGCATAGGTTGTAGCGCTGACGAGTCGACAAAGTGGTCGACTCTCGATTCGTTTGCGCGTCGGAAAGTTGTCGAATGCTAAACCGGCCATCCAAACTGGCCATCAAGTTTTTATCAGATGGCCGGATTGTGCGAAGTTAACAAAATACCATGCGAATGTCGTGAATGTGTAACCTTCGCTAGATTCGGCCGGCCGGATTTTTCTGACAACTGATCTGACGTACCGGGGCTACCGATCAGGGCCCAAGGTGGTGGCGAACGCCGCCAATGTTGTCAGAGGTCCACTGGTGATCCCCGATTGATCCTAGGGAAGGGTTACAGGAACGTTGGCATGGGGGGTTTTGGGCGCACTGACTTGCTACTTAACAAGCCCTTTTATCCCAATGGTCTAGTGGTTGGGATTCTGACATGGTATCAGAGCGAAGGTCTCAGGTTCGAATCCCAGCGTATGCACTTCGGATATCCCAGTGCGGGAGGGTGTCAGAGTTCCACTGGTGATCCCCAATTGATCCTAGGGAATGGTTACAGGCACGTTGGCCTGGGGGGTTATGGGCGCATTGACCCGCTACTAAACAAGCCCTTTTATCCCAATGGTCTAGTGGTTGAGATTCTGACAAATGTGTCAACAGTAGCCTCTGAAGCTTCGGGGGTGATGGAAGTACGATTCTAATACAATTCTTCAGTTCTGAATATAATAAGTTTGTGTAGCGTTTACTTTTGTTCATGATGCTCTTTCGGTTGTTACAGTTGAGATTCAAGCTCCTCGCATTTCTGGTGTCAGATCTTGGTCGCGTGGCGATCGCGGCGATGCGTCTTGTCGACATGGCAAGAATCTACAGTCCTTGTGTATACATCACAGGAGCAGCCAATCCCTTCATAGATCCCTGCTGACGTCGCCATGGCCTCTGGGAAAGGAAGTTCCAGACATTGGTGAGGCGACGCCACGACGGTTGCCTTCACGCAAAATGATCCGCGGCCATTACCCCTCCCCACACTTCCTCCGCTTCCTCATTCCTGGGCATCGCCACTTCATCTAACGGCTATTGTTTACTCGATAAAGCCTTCCCTCTAGTCGCTTGCCAGCATGGCTTGCCTGGCTTCTCCCAAGCGGAATCAAGCGCCGGAGATCAGGGTTGATCGCGGAGTAGTGTTTGCAGCGGAAGTTTGAATCTCAGGTCAGAGTGAATGTAAATGACTGAGTTAATAGAAACATGCATACATCGGGTTTATATAAGAGTACAGGGGAATACGAAAAGACCTAGACTAGCCATGTACTCTAAGGGGTACATTCCCTTATTGCAGCGAATTTCAAACCGTGCAGCACGGGAACCCGTTTCAAACCTGTTCCTGCTCTTTTCACTTCAAGTGTTTCTGCCTGCATCGGTCTTGGTCAGACGGTTGCTGCGTCGCTTCGACTCTTCTGACTCCTCGACTTCGTACTCGGTAGAGTCGGCTCCTGCAGCATACAGGAATGCCTTCTATTAAAGCTTCATATCGTAACACGTTCAGCCCAGACTGCCCCACACGCCACCCAGCAAACAAATTTCAGCGGAGGGTTTTACCGAGCCACAAAATGGTACCAATAGTAGGCCAGGGACGGGAAATTTCGACCGCGTACTTCGATGTAGTCCCTTCCAAAAAAAAAAACAATTTTGGAGCCTAGTTGGGTTTACCCTTCGAGGCCTAACCCCGAGTCCGCCTGGAGTCCTCCACCAAAATCGGGAGTTGTGGGAGGCCTAACTCGGAGTTAACTTTGGCCGTGTGGGAATCTTTCCATAGGGTTCCTTTGAGTCGTACTCCGAGTAATACTAACTCCGATCGTTGGCCCATTTTTGTTTACACGTGCAAAGGGGGAGTTAGTGAACCCCCTCGAAGTCCACCAACTCGGAGTAAGGGTGCGTCAGATCCGCTACAATGTGATTTGGCTGCAAATTTGTCGCCCTTTTGGTCGACCATATTATTCGCCAAAGTCGACCGAATGGTCGAATGCTAAACCGATCACCATCCAGCCACATTTTCAATGTGTTGCAATATGACAGATTTGGTGGCCGATTTACAGGCCGGTTTGCAAAAGTGTCAGATTTGCAGGTCGCACAGTTGGCCGGATTGTGCGACGGAGTCGCATGTATTGTTACTGAAGTGACACAACCGCTAATGTGCACACTACGATCAGACACGTTGAGTCGCTTGGGTATGTTGGCCAAGTCGCATAGGTTGTAGCGCTGACGAGTCGACAAAGTGGTCGACTCTCGATTCGTTTGCGCGTCGGAAAGTTGTCGAATGCTAAACCGGCCATCCAAACTGGCCATCAAGTTTTTATCAGATGGCCGGATTGTGCGAAGTTAACAAAATACCCTGCAAATGTCGTGAATGTGTAACCTTCGCTAGATTCGGCCGGCCGGATTTTTCTGACAACTGATCTGACGTACCGGGGCTACCGATCAGGGCCCAAGGTGGTGGCGAACGCCGCCAATGTTGTCAGAGGTCCACTGGTGATCCCCGATTGATCCTAGGGAAGGGTTACAGGAACGTTGGCATGGGGGGTTTTGGGCGCACTGACTTGCTACTTAACAAGCCCTTTTATCCCAATGGTCTAGTGGTTGGGATTCTGACATGGTATCAGAGCGAAGGTCTCAGGTTCGAATCTCAGCGTATGCACTTCGGATATCCCAGTGCGGGAGGGTGTCAGAGGTCCACTGGTGATCCCCAATTGATCCTAGGGAAGGGTTACAGGCACGTTGGCCTGGGGGGTTATGGGCGCACTGACCCGCTACTAAACAAGCCCTTTTATCCCAATGGTCTAGTGGTTGAGATTCTGACAAATGTGTCAACAGTAGCCTCTGAAGCTTCGGGGGTGATGGAAATACGATTCTAATACAATTCTTCAGTTCTGAATATAATAAGTTTGTGTAGCGTTTACTTTTGTTCATGATGCTCTTTCGGTTGTTACAGTTGAGATTCAAGCTCCTCGCATTTCTGGTGTCAGATCTTGGTCGCGTGGCGATCGCGGCGATGCGTCTCGTCGACATGGCAAGAATCTACAGTCCTTGTTTACACATCACATGAGCAGCCAATCCCTTCATAGATCCCTGCTGACGTCGCCATGGCCTCTGGGAAAGGAAGTTCCAGACATTGGTGAGGCGACGCCACGACGGTTGCCTTCACGCAAAATGATCCGCGGCCATTACCCCTCCCCACACTTCCTCCGCTTCCTCATTCCTGGGCATCGCCACTTCATCTAACGGCTGTTGTTTACTCGATAGAGCCTTCCCTCTAGTCGCTTGCCAGCATGGCTTGCCTGGCTTCTCCCAAGCAGAATCAAGCGCCGGAGATTTTGGAATTCTTCTTCGCACCCCCTCCCTCCTGCCCCGCATTCTCCTTCGCCAACTCCCCTCCCCTCCGTCCTCTTCCGCGTTCCCCCTCTCCCCCCAGTCCCCCTCCCCAGTTTCTCCTGCCCCGTTCCGCTGACCCCCAGTTACCAGATTCGCGGATTACGAGTGCTGCGATGGCATGGCATGTGCCTAATTCTTTCCAAGGAGAATGGGCTTTGAGCGAGCTACATTTACACCATCAGCTCTGAACGACAGGCATTTCTGTTCTTCGCACATCGGCCTTCTAGCCGATCAACTCTTCGAACCTTCTGTCAGATCTTGTTGTCAGTCTCCCCTTCAGCCACCATGGCAACCATCTCCGCCGTCAAGGCTCGCCAGATCATCGACAGCCGTGGCAACCCCACTGTCGAGGTCAGTCGCCCGTAGATCTAGATGCTGGCTGGCTGCCACTTGACCATGGACTGTTTTCTTCGGATATTGAAATGTCTCTAGCACCATTCTTCGTTTTGGATATTAGTTTTATCGTACTAACAATCTGTTCATTTTCACGTTCGGACACGTGTTCCAGGCTGATGTCCATCTTTCTGATGGATCCATGTACCGTGCTGCGGTTCCTAGCGGTGCCTCCACCGGTAAGCCATCTGAGAGGTTCCGTGTTTCCTTCTACTCCCGTCTATCCATTCAAGAAGCTTCTCAGCTGCAATTTGTTGCTGACCTTGTCTCGAGTTTCTTTCGCGTATTAATATGTTTCAGGTATCTATGAGGCCCTCGAGTTGAGGGACGGAGGCAAGGAGTACATGGGCAAGGGCGTCCTCAAGGTGCCTGATTCATCACCCGAACCATCACCCTTTCCCACTACCAAATCTTTCTCTTCCGTCATCTACATCTCTTCCCACTCTGGACTCACGTCGTCTTTAACCTGCTGCTGTCATGACCGCATCTTAGCCTGACATTCTTTATTCTGATTGTTCCTTTTTTTTTTGTTATGCAGGCTGTGAGCAACGTGAACACCATCATCGGCCCTGCTCTTGTGGGCAAGGACCCCACCCAGCAGATCGCCATCGACAAGTACATGGTGGAGGAGCTCGACGGCACCCAGAACGAGTGGGGCTGGTGCAAGGGCAAGGTGCGGTTTGGGAATCACACGCGTTTTAATGGACCTTTTTCTACTTGATAGCCTTGATCGCTTCTGGCATTCACCAAACATGACTGACTCTCTTCAAACTACCCTGACAATGTTCTGCTGTTGTTTTCCCTGATGTGCAGCTCGGTGCCAACGCCATTCTTGCTGTGTCTCTCGCCGTCTGCAAGGCGGGCGCTGGTGTCCTGAAGATCCCCCTGTACCAGGTATTCTAGCTATCATCTTTTTTTAACGCAGTGAATGTAGCCGCTTTTTTTGGTTTGGTTTGCTTGTTTCGCCAGATTAAAACTAGTTTTTTAATCAGCTTCCATTGTGTTACTGTCACGCTTCCTATGTTTCCTCGGGCAGCACATCGCCAACGTCGCCGGCAACAAGAAGCTCGTGCTGCCCGTGCCGTCTTTCAACGTCATCAACGGCGGCTCTCACGCCGGCAACAAGCTGGCGATGCAGGAGTTCATGATCCTCCCCGTGGGAGCCAGCTCCTTCAGCGAGGCCATGCAGATGGGGTGCGAGGTGTACCACCACCTCAAGTCCGTCATCAAGAAGCAGTACGGCCAGGACGCCACCAATGTCGGCGATGAGGGTGGCTTCGCCCCTGCCATCCAGGTATCTTATTCATGCTTGGTCGGCTGTCTTTTATTTCGACGGAATTTTGTTGCAATCTTGAACTCCTTTCCATCTCCTACTCCATCTTCTTCGTGCACGATAATAATCTTGCGAGGGATTATTTTTTTTGTCGATGTTGTGTGCGACAGGACAACAGGGAGGGTCTCGAGCTTCTCAAGACCGCCATTGAGAAGGCTGGCTACACTGGCAAGGTGACGAACGGGTTGGGAAATGGTTTCAGAATTGGTACACTAAAATCCTTGTTCGGTTCCCATTATCTACGCATTTACAGACACGGGAAAAAACGTTCGAATGAACAATGTGTGCAATAAACACAACAGATCTACTTACGCATCTGGTCATAAGAGAAACGGGATTTTCGAAGCTGCTTCTGATCTTTCGGTCTCACAACTGCTGTCTTTGCAGGTCAAGATTGGCATGGATGTGGCTGCCTCTGAGTTCTGGAAGGCCGACGACAAGACGTACGACCTGGACTTCAAGACCGAGAACAATGACGGCAGCAAGAAGCTGTCCGGACCTGCCCTTACGGCTCTGTATGAGGAGTTCTGCCGCGACTACCCCATGGTGTCCATCGAGGATCCCTTTGACCAGGATGACTTCGAGGCCTACCCCGTTCTCACCGCCAACATTGGCAAGGACGTGCAGATCGTCGGCGATGACCTGCTCGTCACCAACCCCAAGGTAACTTGTGAACCAAAGTAACTTTGCCAGGGAAGCTGCTCTTTGTCCCCGTGTCTCCCTGGCATTGCTGCTGTTCTGTTTCAGCTTTTTCAACTCCTCCAATATCTATCTCTTCTCCTCGGCCTTGTGCAGCGTGTGCAAAAGTGCATTGACATGAAGGCCTGCAACGCTCTGCTGCTTAAGGTGAACCAGATCGGAACCGTCGCTGAGAGCATTGAGGCTGTGCGCATGTCCAAGAAGGCAGGCTGGGGCGTCATGGCCAGCCACCGCAGTGGCGAGACTGAGGACACCTTCATTGCTGATCTTGCTGTCGGCCTTGCCACTGTAAGCGGATTCTGCATTTATGTGCTTGCAGCGCAGTTGGGAGTTCTGTGTGCGATGCTCATTTGTTCCTACCCTCCTTTCCCATGATCTTACCCAATTCCAGGGCCAGATCAAGACTGGTGCTCCTTGCCGCTCTGAACGCCTTGCCAAGTACAACCAGGTTAGAAATCCTCCACCCCCACCCTCCGTTGAGAAAGTACCTTTCTGAAGTTGTCCATTTTTTCCTTACAACGTGGCCTCACTGAATCCTCCCTTCACTGTCTTCACTTCGCAGCTGCTGCGCATTGAGGAGGAGCTTGGTGCCAATGCTGTGTATGCTGGAGAGAGCTTCCGCACCCCCTGCGAGCCCTATTAGATGCGCTTTACGTAATGATAGCATCTTATACGCATGTGGAAGCATTGCATAGTTTAGCTAAAGAGTGCTGTACCATGCAAAAAGTAGCAAATACATGGCCATTTTGAGAAGCAATGTTGAATACGGTACGTACACCCAGAACCTTCGTATGAAACCAGCAGTGCAGCGAGAATTGATAATTTCGACACCAGAAGTTCACAAGTAGATCTGCCTCCCTTGAATTCTGCATAAGAAATGTTCCCTACAAGAGCATCTGTCTGAAACCATCTGTGCATGCCACCCTTAATTTTTTATGATTTAATACCGTAACAAACTCTGATAAACAATAAGGGAACATGCATGAAAGCAGCAGCTTGCATTGCAACCTGTTGCACGCAGATATGTACCCCCTATTCCTCGATAACGTATGTACGCCATACAATGCCCACAAGTTCAGCTGCAAGCTCTCGGTCATGATGATCGGAGCTCAATATCATATCCTGCAAAAACCATGATTTAGAAAAAACTCAGCAGCTTTTCCATGCCTAAAGACTTTATGCTTACCTGCACAAGTTTTTGACTCTGAGCTTGATCCAAGTCATCCACTATGTGGTTAAAAATGGCTAGCTTGGTCTTTTCTGCACCCACTCGATCAGCAATTTTTAGAACCTCAACCAGGGCTTCATCCTCAACCTCCATCTCGCATAACTTGGTGTCCATGATGCTCATCAATTCAGCAACATCATATTTGTGAGCAGCTTCGAGCACAGCAAGCCCATCCTGGTGGCAAAGCGCGAGCATGATGAACGAGAACATTTTTTTCATTGACGTACGGAAGTCATTATCGTCACAACCAGGTGTGCATACCTTAACTGACTCTGGAGAAAGGTTGACATCAAAACCATACATAAAGGAAAGGAGCCGCCTCAATGTCGAGCCATCCATGTCATTTATTCTCACAACCGAATTCTTATTGCCATCCACCAATGAAGTGTCGAACATGGCTTTGAGCACAGGAGACCTAGAGAGGAGGAAACGATTGCAGATGTTAATTAACAAGAAGTAACGGATTGGTGCAAGCATAATCATTCATATGATTACCACATGGAGATAATGTTGCGATGTGCAGGAACCTTACTCCCATCAGACGCTTCAAAAATGACGTCACTGAATTCTGCTCGTTCGAATAAGTCTTTCAGCTTTACGACGTGACAGGGTGGATGCGTTTGCCTGCAAGATTCAGTAAATAATAGCTGTTTTCAGTAATGAAGGAATCCATGGACAACGTTAATACGACGCCAAAAAGCAGGGGCAAATGATTTAATATATGAGGTGCTTAAAACAAAGGTTAGTAAGCCCGAGTTGGATCATCTCCCAAACGTATCCTCCTGATGCAACTTGCATCTTATGGCCACATGGCGTTAAGCCGTGGGATTTTTAAGATAGAACAATGGAACAAACGTAGGTGTTTGGTAAACCAACGTCGGCCTAATTGGTGATGACATCCAGTCATCCGTCAACTTGATTTATAGTTCGAGTGGGTACTCATTCTGGTACTATACACGAAAGAGTACGTGAGAGATGAATTCTCGATAACGGCTTACATAGTATCCTCCGTTGACATGCTGAGGTTGGAAACTGCGTAGTTTGGGGCCTCTCAGACTATGACACGCCAAGAAAGCAGAGAATATGTGGGATGAAACGCGAAACCCTGAGTAAGGTGGAGTTCAGACTACGGTTTCCAGCTCCTTTCTGAAGGTGGAAAATATGACAAATATTAGATATCGGCTGTTTGCAATCACCTCGTAAAATGAATGATACATATTTGAGCGGAGAGTTCGCTGGCACCTGGAACCTTGGGATTGTGATGACTCGCGAGCCAGGAAGCGAAAGTGCAAGCCTGAAATCTGGGCCACTGGCGCCTGGAACCTCAAGGTGATGGCACGACCGAGGAAGCTGATGTGCGAGGAAGTGAAAGCCCAAGGCCGACCTGGGCAGCTGTCTCCGAAACGATGTCCAGTGGCCAACGAGGTTGGCGGAGGTACTGGGTTCTCCATATTCGCATACAGTCAATTTTGACTTTTTCCGTTTTCGTATATGTAGGTTCGGCATATATGCGGTAACCGCATGGACTGCTACCGATGGGATAGGTTTCGCGCCAGCGCCATTATACGGTTTCGCCGAGATTCGTGGTTGTTTTCTCCGTTTTGGCTGGCCGTTGCCTCGGCGTGGCGATCAAAATCTGGTTCGGACAGCCTGTCGCGTCGCAGTTCACCAAAAATACCGAGTCGCGGATTGCTGCTGCAGGCCCATGGAAGGAAGGGAGGAGAGGAGAAATTTGACGCTGAGGGGAGGGGAGGTAAATACAGATAAAAAGGCGCATTCCTAGATTCGGGTCATCCGTGGTTCGGGTCTTCCGAAAATTTCGATAGCCAGTCAAAAAGCCCGCGGTTTGAGCTTTGATTTTTTTGATTGGAGTACACAAATTTTCGGATGACATGAAGACGGGATGACCCGAAGCCGGGAATGCGCCCGAGATAGATGAGCCAGAGTTGGATTGAGCTCGGCAGGAGTCTTCAGCCTAGCACCATTCTTCAGTTTCCAACTACGCTCCGACGTCTATGACAGTCGTGGTTTGGGGCAGAGCGTTGGACAAAAACCTGCCTGTTTCCACCCTGGTCCTTCTGGATTAAGTTACGGTTAGGTTACTGTGAAACGTGATCCGTCTTCCCATATCTGTTTCCGCACAGAAGTGAAATAGTTCTGTGCGCACCACAAGCACTTGCACTCACCCAGGCATAGCATGCGCCAACCTTGCTAAGAAACGCTCTTCTCTTCCACTAATAGGAGACATTTACTACCTTTCCTAGTGCCTTGCAGCTAGCCTCGCTTATCCATGCCCGCTGCCATGCAGCCTCAACTCCCCAAGCTGCTCTTGCTCTCCGTAGCGCTTCTCGTCCCTCTCCTGCTCTCCGCGCGTCATCACGTAGCGGCGTGTGCGGGCGCGGAGCGTCGCGTGCTGGTGGAGAATGCGACGGCGTCGCAGGTGCATGGTCCTGCGACTCAAGGAGACGCTCGCACGCGTGTCGCAGTACTCGCTGGCCCTCGCCGGCATCCACGCCATCTGTGAGTGAAGGCGAGATGGCATGGTATGGTACGGTACGGCATGATACGGTACGAGGCGATGCACTTCGATGAGACGCAGTACGAGGCGTGGTACGGGATAAGAGCGGTGTATAGAGCATTGTCGTGAGCTGATGCTGCGAATGGCGGCAACACCGTCCTCGTCCCTTCGAGTCTACCCCCAATAGCCTTCATCCTGTTTCTGGTCGTCACAGTACTCACTTCCCTTGCAATTCTTATCGACACTCTGACGAAATCCTTTCCAGTCTCCAATTTCCAGCCTCTCCTCCAACCTCCCATCCGAACCTCCATAATTATTTCTCCTTTCTTCCTATTCGCTCATCTTCCGCTCTCCCTTCCCGTCTCCTCCTCCTTCCCCATCCGCACCCCGTCCCCCTCCCTTTTCTTCCACGCTCCTCGCCCGCATCAGGGAACGATCCGGCCGTCGACTTCCGCGTGTTGCTCGACACGACGCTCCTAATTCCCACCGACTCCGCGCTTCTCTCCGCGGAGATCAATACCAGCAACGTCACCTACGCTGACGTCGAGGCGGTGCTTCAAATGCACGTCATGCCGCGCCGCCGGGCGTACAGCAAGGTTGAGTGCGGTGAGCCCATGCCGTTCCTGCTCACGCCCGCTAACTGGACCTGGCCGACGCTCGGCGGGGTGCCTCTAACGAGGATAGTTCCGCCGAGCGATTGTGTCAAGCTCTCCCCGACGTTTGCATCGAGCGATTACTACGCAGCTGAGATGGTTAAACCGAGTCTGTTTGTAGGGAAGTATTTCACAGCACACGGCGTGGATAGGGTGCTCCAGCAGCCGTACTACTGATCAGAGCAGATAGTCTATGGTTACGCCTCAGAAGCGGGAAGCGGGAAGCGGGAAGCGGGAAGCGGGAAGCGGGAAGCGGGAAGCGGGACGCGGGACGCGGAAAAGGGGGAGACGAGATGGCACGAGGGGAAAGGAAACGAGACGAGACGAGACGAGGAGGAACGTGTTATGAGACGTTAGACATTCTGGGAAGTGGAATTGGAGAGTTCAGAAGCGAGGGGCTGGAGGGACGAAGGTTGGCAAGGAGGAAATGAGGTTTGTTCTGTGGGCCTGAGAAGGGAGGAGGGGCAAGAAGGGATATGGGAGGTGCTGCTGTGTGTATGGGGAGGGCATACGGATGGCGCACCATTGGTTCTGTTCCATCCCATTCCATCCCATCCCATCCCCTCCCACACCATCACATCACTTACATCACGACCTCCCTCCAAGCCTCTTCAAGCCCAAGCAGAGAACACCTTCAGTTTGCTGGGAAGCATGTGATGTAGTAAAAGTGCCTGCCAGCACAGCACTCTAGATTAGTAGCCTAGTAATAGTGTCACAACGGAGTGACAAGATAACCAGAACTTTAGCTAGTAACCTAGGAGCCTAGTGGTAGCCTAGTATCCTTCCGGGATGTTTACTATTACCGTTTGTTCTGCAGGCTGTTGTTACCAGAATCAGTAACCGGTACGTAGGGGTTGGGTTGGGTTGTGTCATGTAACTTTTGGACACCTGATGTAACATGGCGGGTGCTGCCAAACTCTCCTTTTTGCGTCGACTAGTTAATAGAATGACGCACATGAAAAGAATGCTCAAATTTGACTTGTATGTATACTTGCTCATCTGTGGGCCAATCCTGATTCTGCTCGGATGATGGAACCCACTACAACCCCACCCTACCGTTCTCAACGTGCACCTCCTCCCCATCATCTCTCTCCTGAACCTCCAATTGCATGCGCCGAGACAAAGAGCGAGGGAGAGACGGGGAGCCTGAAGACAGAGGCGTGGAGAGCGGCGCAGAGGGGTGAGGTCTGAGAGAGCGGTGCGGCAAGCGGAAGGAGTGCATGATGCTGCCATTAGCAGCAATGAATGTGAAGTCCTGTGCGGTTTGGGACAAGATAGGGGGTGACGATAGGAGGATAGGATAGCACAATAGGTAAAAGGGATTTGAAAAGGGGTCAGGAGGGCAGGTAGAAGGTCTGCTTGGTCCGTTAGGAGGTCTGCCATATGCAGCATAAGGGGGGAAGTAGCAGTATTGGAGAGCTAAGGGCATGTTTGCGACATAGGGGGGATTGAAATGCTCGCACATAACAATCTACACTATACATGCAACCAGCATACCACCCAGCATACCGTATCACCCCGCATACCACCCACCATACCACCCACCATACCACCCACCATCCCACCGCCCACACCACCAAGCATACCAGGCAGTCGCGAGTGGCAGCGTGCTTGAGAAAGCCAAAGAAGGAAGAATCGGCCCACACTGTGTCGCCCGTGGGGTGCACCCAGTGCCTCTTGTACCCCCCCACGCCGTTACCCACGTGCACCACTCCGCACCGCTCTAAATGCTGCGCAACGTGGTCGTGGCCAAAGAGATAGACGTCCTGTGGAGTGGGCATGGGGGGGAGGGGGGCGGAGGAGAAAGGGGGGGAGGAAGAGAGGATGAGGATGAGGAGGAGGAGGAGGAGGAGGAGGAGGAGGAGGAGGAGGAGGAGGAGGAGGAGGAGGAGGAGGAGGAGGAGGAGGAGGAGGAGGAGGAGGGTGTTGTGAAAGAGTGAGGAGGAAAACAAGGAAACCAGGTGAAGGCAGGCATGGGGAGAGAGCGAGGAAGGAGTGAGAAAGAGGAATCATTTGTTTGGCCTGAGTGTTGATAGCAGATGGCAGCAAGCACCTGCTATCAGCAGCAGCACCTGCTAACAACAGCACACAGTAGAGTTCATGGGTAGAGGTAGAGGCCCACCACTTGGTACTTGTGCAGCAGTGGCAGCAGCATTTTGAGACGTCTCAAAAGCGGCACCTGCTATCAACAGCACACAGTAACAGTACACACAGGTGGAAACCCACCACTTGGTACTTGTGCAGCAGTGGCAGAAGAAGGGAGGAGAAGCGGGGCTCAGCAGGAAAGCGAGGCCGCACGCCTGCTGTGATGATGGGGCGATGACCCACCACCACTTTCCTGGGCGATGGGTGAGTGTGAGCATGGGCAGAGGGTCAGGGCAGGGGTCAGAGCAGAAGCAGGAGGCAGGGCGTGAGAAGGTAAGATCACAAGAGGGGAAAGGCGAGAAGCTTGCTAAGGGAAGGGGAGAGGGGATGAGGATGAGAGAAGGTAGCATGCGTGAGGGAGTAGGGACATGTGAAGGTTGTGGTAAGGAATGGCAATGCCGTCCTCCTGGCAATGCCGTCCTCCTGGCAATGGCTTTCCAGTGAGGTCAGAAGTCTCCTACCCCTTATTTTCCGTCTCTTCAACCGCCCTTTAAAAAACGCAAAAGCTCTCTAAAAAAATAAAAGTGCATTCTTCCCATCTGATCCAACGTGTTGCTGTGTCTTGACAGGTCTCGTTTGACAGGTCTTGAGCCTCGCCCCATTACCAATCCCATTCCCCGTTCATCCCCCATCCCTCCATCTTCCATCCCTCTCCCACCCCTCCATCTTCCATCCCTTTCCCACCCCTCCATCTTCCATCCCTCTCCCACCCCTGCATCCTCCATCCATCCCTCACCCATAACTCCTGCCACCCTGCCCCTCTCACCATCGGGCTGTGCTTTGTGTGATAAGCCAAGTTTTTCTGCCCCTCTCAAAACTGCCCCTCTCACCATCGGGCTGTGCTTTTCTGAAGCTGTGCTTCCAGCCACTGCAGCTGCTGCCTGCCTGCCTGCACACATGCATGCATGCATACATGAAGATAAGGTCCATGGGGAGTGCGGGGATGGAGTGAAGTTAGATGAGCACAAGCGAGGGGAAGGAGCACAGTGTGTGTGTGTGTGTGTGTGTGTGTGTGTGTGTGTGTGTGTGTGTGTGTGTGTGTGTGTGTCTGTCTGCGCGCACGCGCGCACGAGCGAAACGGCACGGTTGGTGGCCTGCACCTGTTGGCCCATGAGATGAAGGGAGTGGTTACTTTTGAGTTTTGTCAAAAGTGACTCAGACGTGCACCTGAGGCCCGACGAGGTCTAGCGAGTAGTTAGAAAAGAAGCACCGGTCATTGTCATTGGACGCTCCCAGCACTCCCTGCCCCGCTCACATGCACACACACACGCTCGCACGCACGCACGCTCACACACATGCTCGCACGCACCTGTGGGCCGACGAGGTCAAGAGAATAGTTGGAGAAGAAGCGCCGGTCATTGTCATTGGACGCTCCCAGCACTCCCTGCCATGCTCCCATGCACAGTGCACAACATGCACGCACAACACGCACGCACGCACGCACACACGCACAAGTGCAGACACATGAACGCACACACAAAGACACAAGAGCACAATAAGGAGAAGGCAATGGGGATTGAAAAAGAGAATCAGGAAAGGAGAAGGGAGAAGGGAGAAGGGAGAAGGGAGAAGGGAGAAGGGAGAAGTAGTATGAGGGAGGAATGAGTTGAGGCGCTTCGAGGCCAATGTGCTCCTCTGTGCCTCAGAGAATAGCGGCAGAACGAAAGACAGTCAAGGAAGCGAGTGAGTGAGTGAGCGAGGGAGGGACGGAGGGAGGGATGGTGGGAGGGAGGAAGGAAGGGAGGGAGGGAGAAAGAGAGGGGAGGGAACCAGCAAGGGGGGGAGGTGAAGCAGCGAAGGAGACAAGGGTTGAGCGAGAGGAAGGAAGGCATTAGCGGAGAGAGGCACCTCGAGGCCGATGGAGTTGGTAAAAAAGAAGTCAATATGCTCCTCTGTGTCTCCCCCACTACTACCATCACCGCCATCACCGCTGCCGCCCTCTCCCCCTCCCCCTCCCACTCTTGCTCCCCCTGCCTCTCCCGCTTCTACCCCATCCGCCCCCGCTTCTCCCCCTCCTCCTCCTCCGGAATCCCCTGTGCCGGTGGCAGCAGGGCGAGCGCGGGGCAGCGGCAGGGAGAGGGAGTAGTAGGGCGCGGGGAGGTACCACTTGGAGGAGGCGTGAGAGTGAGCCACCTGCGCTGCCACGCTGCCCTTGTTGTCGTGATCGCCCAGCGACATGTACCTGTGTGAGGGGGAGAAGGGAGAATGGGGGGCGATTTGGAAGGGGGTGGGGGGAGGGAAAAGGGGGAGAGGCTTGAGTTGACTAACAAACAGCCACACTGCCCATGTTGCCCTAGATCAACACCTGAGGCGCCACAGAAAAAACCTGACGATCACGCTTGCAGCACTGGTTGGAAGACTGCGCTGTGTGTGTACAAAAAGGAACTCACATCACAACTCACCATCAACACAGTCAACCACAGAGTGGAAGAGCGAGTCTGACTGTCTTTTGCGAGTCTGCAAGTGCCTCGAAAAGGAACTCACCATCGCACTTGCAGCGCAGGGTGCGTGTACACGCCTTCAAACACGCGGTGGAAGAGCGGGTCTGCCTCCCCCGTGACCCCGTTGTCATACACGTTGTCCCCCACTGACACCACAAAGCGCACCCCCGCTGCCTCCGCCACCGCCCCCATCTGCAAGAGGGGGAACGTGCAGCAGGGTGGAAGGAGGGGAGTAGCACAAGAGGGAAAAGGGGACCAGAAGAGAGGCAAAGTGCGTGGGGTGTTGAGCGGAGTGCATGTGACGCAGGAGCAGGACTAGGGAGCGAAGAGAGAGGGGAGCGGTAGTGTGGGGAATGGACAGGGCAAGGGTTCAGGTGGTGGGGGCAGATGGGAGGCTGACCAAACCAGGGGATAGGATCAGACAGCACATATCAAAAAGAAGGGCAAAGATGAGCTTGTATTACTTTATTAACACTCCTGTCTCAGCAATATTCATCATCCTGTCACCGCTACAACACCCCAATCCCCCCATGCCCACTCCATGTCCCCCCATCTCTCCCTCTCATCACCATTCCATTTCCCAACTTCCCTTTCCCTTCACCCCCACTCACCTCCACCCCTTAACTACCTACTACTTGCCCACTCTCTCACCTGTGCCGCCACAGCTTTTTGAGAGTCGTTCGCGTTTCCGAAATCCCCGATCGACAGGAACACCATAGATCCAGACTCTCCGTCTGCTGATCTTCCATCTCCATCCCCCGGTAAAGGAACGCTAACTCGCTCATTAATATCACACCCGCCACTGCCGCCAACTGCCACAAGAACCTCCCCAGGCAAGCCTCCCCCGCGCGCCTCTTCCGCCACCACCCAGTCCGCGCGCGCCCCCCACCCCCCCGCCGCGCCCGCCAGCGCGGCGCATATCCCCGTTATAAGCAGGAACAGGAGCGCGACGACTGCACATTTGGTGCCGAGAAACGCGCGCGGGTGGAGCAAGCGGCGGAGAAACAGCGACGCCTGGAGGCGCATCTGCTGCAGCATCGGCGGGGCCCGGCGCTGCGGGGAGTGGAGCGGAGCGCCGACGTCGCCGCTGCCGCTGCCTCCGCCGCCGCCGCCGCCAACGCCGGCGGAAGCGGAGCCTTCTTCGAGTCGAATCGGATCTGACGCGAGAGTGTGGTCAGGTATTTGATCGATGTGCTGTCGGCTGCTCGTACGCTGCATGTGCTTCTAACGAGAGGTCAACTGCTGTGAGGAGGTGGTAGGGAATGTGACACAAACGAAGTGGTCAGCACATCATGGCCGTCGTGCTGCTTGGGCGGTCGGATCAAAACGGACGTGCGTGTAACGAAGGATCGGGACGCGCAAGCGACATGTTTTGAGAGGCTACGAGAAAGTGATCGGCGACACGATCGCGGCCGAGCAGCCTTGCTGACCTACTCGGGCGAGGAAACCAGCAGGCGGAACGAAGCGAAATAGACCGGAACGGACCGGAACGAACCGAGAGGGCCGAAACGGAGCTTAGTGTCCACCTCTGACTGTGTCAACGCAGTGATTGTCGACCGTGGTTTGTGAACTAGGCAGCAAGAACTGCTGTGACGCTGAAGAACATGGTACGTTCCAAATAGAGTAGTCTAGCTCGTGCGCATCTATCAAGGCTAGGCGTTCCGGTAGCTATTCTACTCTGTGGGAGGAGGGAAGGGGGGGTCAGACAATTTACCTTCAGATTTGTTTGACGCGGTTTTATACGGTCCACCACGTTTGAAGATGGTTCTTTCAGAAGAACGAAACTCTCGAAGCCAATGGTCCGTCCCCAGTTTCCGGGAGTTTCTTTCTTGTGTGCAATGATCATTCCCCTCGAGAGTGCCGCTGTTGCTCGCTATGGTCTGGGATAGGCGAACTTACATCAAAACAAGCTAGAGCGAGATAGTTCCGTCTTTCGCCAGTTTCCTGATGGGAGGCGCAAACATCCTCAGTCCGACCAATCAACAACCACAATCAGCCCCGCATGAGCTGTACGCTTCATTGGATTGGACAGTAACCAGTTGTCTACAGAGAATCTTATTCTACAGATAACCGCAATATGTGAGCAAGATATCATCGTATTATACAAATGTCTTTGCTAAAACGTGTTTGGTCTAAACCATGACTTCACTCTGTCGATTTTTTATTATTTTCTGATTTTACACACAAAAATCATTGGGAAAGAATTCCGTTAATTTCCAACATGTATGGAGGTAGATCAAGCATGTTTCTTATATGCTAATCATTTTTTTACCTTCAATCTATCATCACGTATAAACAAACATTCTACTCATCGAGCCAGCTAAGGCGGGATACAGTGTACTGAACGACTAGGTGCGATGGAAACCCCAAGTGCTCTCTGCCACAGAGCAAATTTGTGGCTTTTCGCGTGCTCCCGCCTTGTTCGCGAACCAACATCTAGAAGTTCAGCCTTCCCACGACGAATGTCTCCCTGACGATCTAGAAATCATCAATTCGCGAGAGGTGCCTTCTACCGTTATCTCTTCCGATTGGCGAATCCGATCCTTATTGCCACGTCAACATTTCTGGTCCGTTAGATGAACTCGCAATTTCTCACAATTGGCTGCTTCATCCGTCCGCTTCGTTATCCGATTACCTTGGAATTTCCTACGCCAGGCTTCCGCCCATTCCCGCCCATTCCCCCCTCCTCCATCCGAGGAAGCGCCGAGCATGCATTTTTGCTCCCACACACCCCACTTGGGGCGCGCTAGGTTTCCGCTCGTACTCCGCATTCACCCCATCCACTCCGCCCTCTCAATCCCGCTTGCGCGCCTCCCCCAGCAGCCTCCCTCCATTCACCACCTCGCAGCCCACTCCCTCTCCATCACATCACATTCTGTGATCTCCTTGCTCTGTCAGACCAGCGTTTCTAAGCTTTCTCCTTGGCTGAAGCCTGCCGCTGCTTCTCGCATTCACCAAGTCGCACGCGAGTCTCAGTTCCTCACACCAGGCTTTAGCCATGGCGCACGCTGTCGCTGCCTCCTCTTTCACCGCGGCTCTGGCCCCGTCCTCCGGGTCCTTCGCCGCTGCCGTGCAGAGGAAGACCGTGACTTTGAGGACCGTCCCGTGCGCAGCGGTCAGGCGGTGCAATATCACCGCGAGCCTTTCCCCGATTGAAAAGCAGGTGTCCGCGGAGGAGATTCTTTCCAACGTTGACACTCAGAAGACCGTCGCTGCTTCCATGGCCGGTTCCATCTTCGCCCTCCTTTCCAACGTCGGCTCCGCCGCCGCTGTTCAGGAAATCGCCTCGATCGCTGACTCGGACAACCGCGCCGGCTCCCTTCTCATTGTCCTCCTCCCTGCTCTCGGCTGGGTGCTTTTCAACATCCTCAGGCCCGCCCTGAACCAGCTTGACAAGATGAAGGGCAAGAAGGGCGTTGCTGCCGCTCTTGGCCTTGGTGCTGCTGGTCTCCTCGCTGCCCCCCACGCCGAGGCCGCTCAGCAAATCGCGGAGCTCGCTGACTCCGATAACCGCGCCGGAGCCCTGCTCATTGTCCTCCTCCCCGCTCTCGGCTGGGTGCTCTTCAACATCCTCAAGCCCGCTCAGAACCAGCTCAAGAAGATGCAGGGCAAGAGCGTTGTTGGCGCGGTTGGCCTTGGTGCTGCTGGTATGCTCCTCGCTCCCCACGCGGAGGCTGCTCAGCAAATCGCGGAGCTCGCTGATTCCGACAACCGCGCCGGAGCTCTTCTCATCGTCCTCCTCCCCGCTCTCGGCTGGGTGCTCTTCAACATCCTCAAGCCCGCTCAGAACCAGCTCAAGAAGATGCAGGGCAAGAGCGTTGTTGGCGCGGTTGGCCTTGGTGCTGCTGGTATGCTTCTCGCTCCCCACGCGGAGGCTGCCCAGCAAATCGCGGAGCTCGCTGATTCCGACAACCGCGCCGGAGCTCTTCTCATCGTCCTCCTCCCCGCTCTCGGCTGGGTGCTCTTCAACATCCTCAAGCCCGCTCAAAACCAGCTCAAGAAGATGCAGGGCAAGAGCGTTGTTGGCGCAATTGGCCTTGGTGCCGCTGGTATGCTCCTCGCTCCCCACGCGGAGGCCGCTCAGCAAATCGCGGAGCTCGCTGACTCCGACAACCGCGCCGGTTCCCTTCTTATTGTCCTCCTCCCTGCCCTTGGGTGGGTGCTTTTCAACATCTTGAGGCCAGCCCTGAACCAGCTGGATAAGATGAAGGGCAAGTAAATTTGTGTGTAGTCCTTTTTTTGGTTTTACTGTGCAAGAAAGTTGGACATATTTGACAATTTTGACTTGCAATTGGCCGTTAAGTGTTACGTGAACCTTACAAGCGTTCCAGAATGCACCCTGTCTTATACGTGGTTTAAATGTTTACCTCGAGGTAGTGGCATTTGTATTTAGATCCGAGTTTTTTCCTCTAGTCTGGCCCAACCAAATCTGAGATGGCTTCTAGAAAGCAGCATCTTATGCTGGTTTAGCCTGTAGGTTAAAACCCGTGGGTCAAGAAGGCCAAAACTGCCTCATCCTTCCTAACGTTGGTTGGGTGTCCCAAAAACGCTTGTGCTGATTCCCGAGTTCGATGACCTAGGCCAACATTTTTTATGCTCCTATTGGCTCACGGGAGAATACCGTCCTGACTCCCAACCAACCTTCCTAAGCTCGAATAGCTTGGCCTGCGGGTTTTAAAGCTGTTGCCTACATACTTCCTGCGGGACCAAATGCGCAAGCCCTTCTGATATTTTGTCAGTCGTTTCTAATACGAGGGCCCAAGTTGGATTGGATTGTAGTGTTTATTCTGAAATGTACCAGAAAATAACAAGCTGCGCAAAACATATGAAGTGTGTACAGGTACGGTATTGCGATCTTGAGCACGTGCCAACAAACACGAAAATACTATGTTCTCTAGCCTAACTTTACAGTATGAACATACGTTAATAGGTAGTTGCCTTGCCACCATGGTCAGTGGGTTACTGCGTAATTGTGTCAACATGAGCCTGACATAGCCAGTATCCGACGCCCCCCCTGATTGCTCCGCAGTCCACATTCACTCTCGGCTCTGTAGCTTGCGAATCGCATACTCGGGTTGTACACTTGAAAAGAAGACGGTTTATTGATAGTTGAGAAGGACCGGGTACGTGAACCAGGCACAGTAGTGGCCACCGAGGCTGCTTCGACGGCGGGATTGGTGACGACCCGTGGAGGGATAGTGCGAACACGGACGACTGGGTTGAAAGTTACACGGCGAGTGCGTTTGGGTTTCGTCGCCGGCGACGACACTAAGCAGCTTCCAGCGATTTCGTTGAGTGATCGTCCACGTCGCATGTCACACGTGTCTGTCTGAGACGATCGCTCCAAGCTCGACGATTCGGAGCCGGGCGGCGGCGTTCCCCATTCAAGGTCCATGTCGAGCGACGAAAACGCGCGACGTCGCACGACTGCCGCGTTGGGGCTGCGAACGGTGACTGGAATGGTTCCGGGCCGCCACGACGAGGTGCCCCCCCTCGCGCTCCGAGCATCCCCGGATCCAAGAGTCGGAGAGCGTGCGCAGTTTCCGGCGCCGCTCAACGCGGCTGCCGGCGACGGAGGAGTTACAATGGTAGCAGCGGCGTCCTCGCAATTTGCGGCGCTTATAGGGGGCTCTTCCGCGGTTTCCGAAACAATACACGTCGGGCGCGTGAATTGATGACGCCCCTGATTGGCCGTGGTGCGGCTCCGCTGCTTCATCCACTCATTTGAAGCAACGGTGCATGGACCCAGACCCTGACACATAGTGAAGCTTTTAATGGCGGTAGCGGACTTGTTCCAAGAGGAAGGCTGGGCAATTACGCTTACTGAAGAGCTCGAAACGCGGAGGAGGAAGTTAGCTAAGAAGATACTTGACCTTGTGAACTAGTGTTGGTTTGAATGAAATCCAAGATATATGGCTTTCTACAGACTTTATGGATGGCTGCCTCCTCGTTGGCATCCTGACGGATTTTCCGAGACAAGTCGAGACTGGGAAAGGCCAGAAGAGACTGGTTGGAGTGGAGGAGAGACTGACAAGAATGAGTGGGAGGGGGCCTAGGAGGGAATGGTACACATGATGCCCATTTCAGTCCCCTTCCCCATCTTTCCCTGTGCTCCTCTCTCGAGCATGCGTTCACTAGGGGCAGAATGGGACTGAATGTGGAACAAAGGTTGACAAAAAAACTACAGTTGCGGAAATTGTGGGTAGCCCAGCGTGTTTTGTCTGGGAAACTCGAACATCTTGGTTTTGTCGTGGGCTAGTAACGCGCGGGCCGTTGGCTGTGAATGTCGACCACTGGGCGTATGGAGTGGCAGCGGGCGTGTTCAGAGTGGGCGGTTGAGTGAGCATTAGGGTGTACGTGGGACCGGCCGCTGGGAGTGACGACGCGGCCAGCTAGGCAAAAGCAGCACGCGGCTGACGACACAAAGGAGTCTGACGTAACATGTGTTGGAAAGGTCATTAACATGGCGGAAAGAGTCAAATGAGTACGGGTATCTATCGATGCTGTGCTGTTCTGTACAGAAATGCAGGCCTCAGCTGGGAAAATCAAGCTCAAACGTCTCCAATTTATTGAGTCTATGTCGTATCCCTGTCTAGAGTCAAGAAGTTAGTGGCATGCAACTAACTCATTCTGTGCACGCGATTGGTCCAAAAACGTCGCTCGGCCAATCGCATGGGTTCCAAATTTCTAGGTTGCCACTTTCTCATTCTTGACACTAGCCAGGGATACGACATAAATAAGAAGTTGAGTCACGCGTGAAACGCTTTCACTCACTTCATTCCAAGTTTCATTGTCACCCCTAGGAAAGTGCACCCTTGCTTTAAGGGGTACCGAGGTCCAGATAGTAAATTCTGGTTGAATTGCACCCACAGGGGTCTTCGATGGCCTTCACATAAGAGGGTGTCTCAGATGTCTGAGTCCACGTGGGTACGGCTCGGACCTGACGGACCAGCTCAAGAACCAGCGCGTGAACCAGGGCGGACCGGGACCAGGTTGTGGGGCTTGTAACCCCGTTATACCGTTCGAATGGCACTAAAACGGTGCCATTTATTTGGCCCTCCAGACCAGTCCGCGCCTGGTCCGTAAACAGTTGGTGGGGAAACATTTGTTTTGGCGAAATTTCTTGTTCTGTAAGTTTCGCGTGAGATTTTTGTGCAGACGAAGAAAATGGGTAACTCAATTTCAAATTCGTCGCTACTGCTGCATCTCGCAAATACTGTGCATCCCGAAGCGCGACGCATCAGGCAGACCAGTCCGTGTCTGGTCCAACGCTGGTCCGCCAAGTGGGTCCGTCGGACCAGAACCCCGGACCAGGCCTATAGATTCTGGTCGCGGACCAGATCCAGCGGACCCTCCACATGAGACACGTCCTAAGTTCGTGAACTACCCTGGAACTGGTTTTCGATGATCGTACACAAGTTCCAGTCTGGTTGTGGGTTGGTGAGGAAGTGGGGGTGGGGGTGGTGGTGGGGTGTGGTAAGGTCGAACGCTGGTGGAGAGGTGAGGAAGAGGGCAGTCTAGTTCGGGGCACTTCACGCTGATTTTCGGGGCATCTTGTATTGACGGCTTTACGACTTGCCACCATGAACTGTTTTGTGACTTTTGTCCCAAGCTGAACTTAGCTGACTAGGCGTTCCTCCAGCTTTTCCCGTTGCTTAAGCCAATTTCCTCTCATTTCCCGGAGCTTTCTCTTGATGGTGCATTGCCGTGCTGTCCATGACACTTCCAGAAAATGACAGGCAATCCAGCATCGATGCGGATGTGCGCGTCTAGCCATCCACGGACTTGATACAGTAGAGAGCAGAACCAGTTATTCCAGTTGTCAAAAAGGGGTCCATTCACACGAAAGCTACCCTCGCGTAAAGCCAGCTCCACTCCTCCACACAGCACATTCCGTGATTCTTGCGGCCATCGCTGATCTCTTCAACCAGCTGGGCCCGCCGGATGTTGTTGAACAATGTCGCAACCATGCTTGTACAGGGTACACATTCATCCAGGAAATTACCAAAGTATATGAAGAGGTTAAAAGTGATTGAGCGGTTTAAAGGCGGGTGTAAGGAAAATTCTTTTTCCTTACTTCGCATCCCTGCTCAACGCGTACATCACTGTAGCACCACAGTCAGCACCGTTACCACTCGCAACCATTGCATCGACAATCCGCCCGCCACCTTCGCACGTCGCACCCCGACCTCACGGTTCGGCGGGTAACCCGCGCTCCGGGCCTCCGCTTCGACATTTTCCCCAACCTCAGTCCCAGGCCCGTCGCACGACAACCACAGTCCATTACCGTTACCACTGTAGTTTCGCTATATATTCTTCGCTCAGACCTTCGCTCATTGTACTCTTGCTTCGATAGTGCAATTCTCGTTCGTTCACTCAATTGCACTCGTAACACTTGGTATTCAGAGCCTACGATCTCTTCTCGGACCGCACCCACACCTTCGCTTCCCCACTATCTCAATTTTTTGGGGGGGGTAGACGTCTCTCAGTGACACAGCACCGCCGCTCGTAGTGCTCTCTCGTAAGTACGCACGACCACGACCGAGGCTCTCGCTGAGCTCGCCCGACACCCCTGCCATGGCCGAATTCACGCTCGCCACATTGACGCAGGAGCAGCTCGACCGTCTGGTGCGCCAACTTGAAGATTCGGCGCTCGAAATTGCGATGCTCACGGCGGAACGTGACTCCGCGCGTCAGCAATCAACGATGAACACTCCAGCGCCACCACACGCACGGACAAATGCATCTGCACAATCGGACGAGCCGATCGTCATCTCGTCCGGCACACCAACACAAAACAACAGCGTGGGACAGCGCTCAGGCGCAGCCAGCGATGGCGCCGCCCAGCCGATGCCTGGCATGGGAGGAAACAGGGTCGCACCAAGCCCGCGGGAGCCTCGCGAAGCCCGTCGGCACGTGGAGTTCGCGGCGACAAGTGGCGAACAGGCCATTATGGCACCAATGCCACTCAAGCCGCAACGCCCGCCCTGCTTCGACCCGAGCCAGCGTAGAGGTCCGACGGTTCAATCGTGGGTCTTCACGATGAACGTCTTCTTCGACGCGAATTACATCGAGTCGGACGCAGCGAAGATTCGGTGTGCCGTTTCGCTGCTAAGGGGCCCCGCCATGGACTGGTGGCGAGTCATCGTGTCGTCGCCACGCGCCTACGAGCCACCGTCGCAAGAGGAAGGGCCCACGGGTCCAGCTGTCACCTGGAGT